TATCAAATGAACCGATTTATTTATTTAGTATAATTTATAAATAAATTTAGAGATATAATTAGACGATAACCAACTAAATCTATTAAAATTTTATTAATTGATTAGATTGATAAAATTTTACTAACAACTAAAGAGTGAAACCGTCCTATTTCATTTGCTAAATAAAAATAAATACGTCTCCTCATAAACAAATTCAGTTAAAAAAAAACGATTATACGGCTTATCTTCCACATGTTTCTCCAATTTTAACAACTAAAATCTATTAAAAACAAGTCAAAATTTAGATTGAACACCTTAACAACTATTTTGGCACATTAATAATTATTACTAATCACTAAACTATATGCACTACTAGAACTAGGGAATCGTATAGTACAAGAAATGATAACCATGGGAGTATATATTTTCAGAGTTATCGAATTTTGCACCCTAGATTAGATCATTTATAAGTTTCTACGGTGGTTTAGTTCAGGGTAGAAATAACAATATTTTCCACGTGACAATAAAAAGTTAATAACAGAACAAATCAAGCTAAGTACAAAGAAGTTGACTTTTTGTTAGCGACAAAATTTGATTATACAGACAAGAAAAAACCTTAACATGATCAGGAAAATATCTCATCACTTCTTCAATTGATTTCTTTTGATTTGTAATGTCGCGTCTCTGATCACCTTCTTCTTCCTCTGTCAACACTACTGATCAATTATTTCACATTATCTCTTACCCATTCGAAAATTTCATATGGTTTATAGTTCAAATCTCCTCGTTTTGTCTCTCCAATGGCGATCTCTTCCTTCCTCTCTCCAAAATTACCTTTTTACCCTTCGACCAAACTCGTTCCTAGTCGACTCACTCTCTCGTCCTCCTCTTCCGTTTGCTGCCTCTCAGTAGACCGTTCCTCCTCCGTCTCCGCCGCAAACAACTCCGAAATCTCCGGTTTACGAGTCGTGATAACCGCCGGAGGCACCGCCGGACACATCTCTCCGGCGTTAGCGATCGGAGACGAGCTGAAATCAGCCGACCCATTGGCTCAAATCCTCTTCATCGGATTCCCAAACAGTATGGAAAGCACGACGGTACCATCCGCCGGATTCGATTTCTCCGCCATCTCCACAGTCGGATCATCATCGTCACGACCATTCCTCTACCTAAACTCCTTCCTCCAATTCCCTCTCCGACTAGTCCAATCAACAATCGAATCATACAAAATCCTCCAAGAATTCAAACCTCAAATCGTCGTCGGAACCGGAGGACACGCTTCTTTTCCGGTCTGCTTCGCCGCCGTGATCTTGAGGCTTAAACTCGTGATCCAAGAACAAGACTCGATCCCTGGAACTACTAATTGGATTCTCTCCTTCTTCGCCGACACAATCTTCGCTCCGTTTAACAATACAGTCACTAATCTCCCAAAAAGAGTCGCCGGAAAATGCATCGTTTATGGGAATCCGATAAGGCAAGTGCTTAGACGGTATTCGTCGAAAGGAGCGGCTCGTGTTAGCTTTTTCGGACAGTGGGCAGGAGCTGTGTCGGAAGCAAAAGTTGTGCTTGTGCTTGGTGGGTCTTTAGGAGCAAACGCCATTAACATGACTTTGCTTCACTGTTACTCGGAGATGTTGTCTGAACATGAGAACTGGTTCTTCGTTTGGCAAACTGGAATTGAAGCTTTTGATGAAATGGATAGTCTCGTTAAAAGCCATCCTCGTCTCTTTCTATCTCCGTGAGTTTCTTTCAACATTTTAAAACTGATTTAGAAGCTTTTGTAATCTCTACTATGGTTTTGGTAGTCATGATGTCAAAGAGAGAGCTTTAGAACTCAAAATGTTGCTTTTTTGGGTACAAGGTTCTTGCGATCGATAGGTGTGGCTTACGCGTCTGCGGATTTGGTTATCTCGAGAGCCGGTGCGATGACTTGCTCAGAGATTTTGGCTTTAGGCAAACCTTCTATCCTGGTATGTTAAATCTTTACGCTGATTCATCGGATTTGTCTACAAGAGATTGCAGCAATGTGTTCTTTTGTATTGTTAGATACCATCACCGCATAGCGATGAAGGAGATCAAATTAGGAATGCCTCTTTAATGGCGGATATTGTTGGATCAAAGTTGATTACAGAGGAGGAGCTAGATACGATTACTCTTCGAGCTGCAATGGAAGATATTCTAGGTAATTGAAACTCCACAAAGTAGCAAAAATCTCTCATCTTTCTTCCTCCTCTCATTGAGTTTGGTTCCAAATGATAGGGAATGAAGAACTGATGGCGGAAATGAGCGAGCGGGCATTCAAAGCTGCGAAACCTGATGCTGGATTAGATGTCGCTAACCATATTATTTCTATTGTCAAATCCGAAGATAAGTAGATTCTTATGTGAATAAACTCTCTTCCCTCTCTTTGGAATTTTGATTCAGTTTCCGCAGCTCAAATCCTCGCTCGATCTAACAACCCCCGAGTAAACTTTAGTATTGTGGAACAAAGTTAATGTGCTACGGATTACAGAAGAGTTTGTGAAACAAAATGTGTATGATTGATGAGCCCTTGAAGAACTATTGTAGATTTGTATTGACCAATTTGGCCTTCTGAATCTGGCAATTGAAACATTATCTGAATGAGGAACCTTACCTCTCACTCAGTCTCTGTTTTGCGTTAATGACTTTGCGTTAATGAAGTTGAGTATTTGGCCTAATCAAACAAAAAAAACAAATTAAGTTGAGCAATTTTCAAAACTTCAGTGACCTTAGATCAACCACTAGACATTGGTTACCAGTAAGAAGTTACCGATTTCGTGAACATATACAACACTTCAGAAAAAACCAAAATTGTAGTATTAACTTTCGTAGTTCGTTTCGTTGTCTAAATTCGAATGCGTATAAAGTCCAAAACTTTTAAATCTTAAAAGATAATTAATTAGTGAATAAAATTGCGCCGACCTTTGATCAAAATTCACTAATTTACGTAATTTTGTTCTATATTTGCGGCAAAGGATTTTAAATTGAAAATCTTAAAACCACAAAAATTAGAAATACAAAATAGAGCGGAACGCGTCTGAGTTTCTGTTCCGGCGACTATCGTCTGATTACCGGTGGTCATGGACACTCTCCGATTCGAGCTAAGCTCTGCTTCCCTCACTTCTGCCGCCTTCACCGCCTCTTCTTTACACAGTCACTCCCGACATTCCTTCTCCTCTGTGCGAGTCGGCCGAGTCGACTCATCTCCGGCGATCGCATCGGTCGCGAAGACTACGGTGAATGAAATCTGCACGGCGGACGAACTCCACTTCGTTCCTGTTCCCAACTCCGATTGGCGCACCGCTCTCTGGCGATATCTTCCTTCCCCAAAGGTACTC